CGACAAGAGATTTTCTTCTCGAAAAATGGAAATTTTTCATCTCCAATAACATTCAAGAGATTTTCATGTCGAGCTTCTCTCCAACACAAATCACCCAACATGTCATGTATTCTTATTGTCTTCATTTTCCCATTATAGCTCTGTTTGCTAACAAAAACAAGACTTTTATCAACAAGATCTTGCAAGCATTCCATGGCCACTTCCTCCATATTTCGATGCTCCTCTGCCCTCAAAAATCCCTTTACCTCCCACAACCTAACCAAGTAACCAACTTCTTCAGAGGGATCTCTTAGTCTTCTCGAAAAACTCCAAAATATAGAAAACAAGTTTTTAAGTGGTGTGGTAATTGGTTGTAACTCAAATATAATATTTTGGAACATGCATCATTAGAATCACCAATTACATATCTACTCAAATTTTCTGCAACATTATTCCACTTCTCGACTATCGCCTCTATCTTGGAGAGAAGACTAACTACTACAGTAATAGCTAGAGGTAGTCCATTACATTTCTTCACTATGTTTCTACCAATTTGCGCAAACACGAAAAGAAATTTCGTTTGACCAAACACATTGAAGTAGAGATTCCAACTTTCATTGGCATCTGAGAATGGCATGTTGGGAAAAGACATTCAAATTAGAAGTCAACATTCTTGTCCTAACTTCTAGGTTCCATGTGCTCCTTGTCCACAAAAGTGGTGTGAACGTGGGTATGACAAAGTAGAGTAATGGTCTAAGCCTTCCACTATTTGCGTGAGTGTATGTGGTCATGGTTAGAGCTCCTTAACTATAAATATAGTATCCTTCACCATTCATCAATACACTCAAATAGGAAGTTTCCTTTTTTTGGCTTTTCTTCACTTCGTGCATATCCTCTAGTCTGAGCATATATATAGTCAGGTTCGCCTACGTGATTGCTAGTGCAAGCTATCCGTAGTAGGTCTGTGTAGCCTGTCGAAAGCATGCCAGGGTTCTAACTGCACCGTTACCGGGCAAATAACGCTTTTAAGGTAGTGTTATTGTAACACGGCACAGATTTCCTTTCAACCATACACCAATAGTGTCCGTGCTTCTTAAAAGGCTTCCAGATCGCGCGTTGACGTTGCAATTTTCCCCAACAGTTAAAAGCGTTATTTGTGCAATAGTCAACCTTTAGAATTATGGCACCTTCTGTCATACCGGATCTATCAAAAATTACCGCGCTTGATGGGAAAAATTACAGCAGGTGGGCTCAAAGAATGCTTATTCTCTTTGAACAATTAAAGTTGGTTTACGTGCTATATTCAGTTGCACCTGAACCTACTCCAACAATGTTCTCTCCCTTTGGTGCTACAAAAGCTAACCATGAATCTGATTACACTCCAGGTGAAGAATCGAGAGAAAACAGTCCTGAAATAGATTATATTCCGGGTCAAGAACCGGGTGTAACTCTGATGCAGTTTAGAAATGACAATGCAGCAGTCAGAGGATACCTTCTATCACAAATAAATGACGATTTGTTTGACATCTATATCAAACAAGACTCAGCAAAAGTCATTTGGGAATCACTGTCAGAAAAGAATGGTGCCAATGAAACTAAAAATCAAAGTTTCAGAACTGTCTACAACAAAAGGAGTAGAAAAATCAAGAAGTTCAAAGGAAGGTATTTTACATACAGAAAGCAAGGACACCGAGCACACCAGTGCTACCATCACAATGGCAAAACTAGCAAAAGTCAATCTGACAGAGCAAGATGAGTATTGAATCTCTTTAAATAAGTAGTTATTTTTGAGTAACTATATTTACTCTAGTTCTAAGGGTTCGCATGAAGTATGATTGTCTTAGTACTGAGTTATAGTTGAGTTGTCTAGATTTTGATTACTTAGTAGTACTTATTTCTTTAGTATTTTGAATACTAATGACATTGATTGAAATAATTCGTGCATAGATATTGCTCAAACATTTTACTAAAATTATTTGTATAAAAATAAGAGCATATATCATAGGCTTCAATTGTAATTTAGTGAGAACATGGAAAAGTCATCATTCTTAAACACTCTGTCTAGGAAGATGGGTTTTAAATAAACTTCGGTTTCACCACTCGACCTGGGAGTACTTAAGAAGTAGGGCATTGATCATGCAGGCTAGTTAGAGCGCCACTTGATCTTCACCTGAAATGAGGTTGACTTTCATATGTTGTTAAACAATCAAAGCCTTGCAATAGAATTTGTTGAAGTACTGCAATAGTAATATTGATCTGCATCTATGAATGCTTTCCATGAGTTTTGATTTCCTCAAGGGAATGGAAATTCTGCAAGTGGCAACTCTGAAGTCTCATTGTTGAGAGACATTTCCGAATAAATATGAGCTCGAACATATTCCTTGTGTATGAGATTAATTTCTTATAAGAATATGATGTGAAATTTATGATTATGTTGTTCAACTTGATGTAGCATGTGGACAACATTATTTCTATGGCTTACTAACAATGAACATTTGTATATATATTATTTAAACTCTTGGTTGAGTCATATTGAAATACCTATAATTCCCAGTTAAAGAGTAATTGTGATCAATTGAGATAATCAAGTTTGTTGAAATACATTCAACTGTTGAGCATGTATCAGGCAGAGTGCGAAACTTCTATAATGCTCCAAAAAGCAAGTCGGCAAAACTCAGTCTACAAAGGAGCTAATGATGGGCACCAAATATCAGTCTGGGTAAGATATCAAATACATTTGACAAAAATATTTGTAAATGTTGCATTGTGGGGGTAATAAACTCCTTATATTTTCATCAAAAGTTTCTCTGTGGTATTGAGAATAATGATGAAAGAGGATGTTTCATGTTAAACATGAAAATCTCAAGGGATTATTTACGAGTAAAAGAAGTAATCGTCAAAGTGCATGTAAGTTTGATCAAGAGAATTAACTTACTTGATGGCTAACTATGAAGATTAGTCGCTGACTCATTTGAAGGACTTAAAGTCCAAGTGGTAATGAATTCGTGGTGGATCCCACTTCTGTGGTCAAACGAAGCCATGAAAAGAGTTACAAAATAGTACACTAGTTGGTCATTCTGACAGTGTGTGTACTTGTGAGGTTGAGCTACATCTCTTAATGAATTCATAACTCTTTGAGAAATGGTGGTTTTGTTGAGACAAACCTATTGAATTCACCGCATAATGACATGAGTAATACAAAGTGCTCTTGGTGACTTATACTCAATTGGGGTGGTCTATGTTGAGGTAGACCTAAAGAGATCCCTAACTTGAGTAGAAAATGACTAACCGCCTCATATGAAAGATAATGGGGTTATCCCAAGAAGCTGAGTGGCTATGAAACATGTTGATAACCGTGCAGTTGTGGGGGTGTCCAACACCTTCACCACATTGTGATTCACAAACTGTCATTTTCTTTGCAAATAACAGTGCCTATGATAGGACGAAAAGACTTACAACTGATTTATGTCTTTAACTACTCTATAAGTCTTTAATGGTAGTCTATACTAAGATAGACTTGATAGAGTTGAAATTCTATATTGAGATAGACTTGATAAGACATAAAAATCTGTAATGGGGTAAGACTTGTCAAAGTTAAAAGTCTATGTTGTGATAGACTTTGACAGGGTATAGTAGAAGTCTATATTTGAGACAGACGTAACATTCCTTAATACTAAGGGTGTTCATAAGAAGTCAAAGAGTTTAACTTTTGTAGGACCTACCTTTTGAGTTGGTGTGTGCATTCGAGTTCAAAATTTATCTAACCGGTGAGTTCAAGATTCACATCACTCCCGGGAAGAAAATTACTCAGTGTCACTACGTGTCAGTTCAAGTTCTCAAACATTGACATTAAGATCAACTCATTTGTATTGCTTAGACATGGTTTCCTTCTAGCCTTCAACTTTGAACGTGTGGGGGATTGTTGGGAAAAGACATTCAAATTAGAAGTCAACATTCTTGTCCTAACTTCTAGGCTCCACGTGCTCCTTGTCCACAAAAGTGGTGTGAACGTGGGTATGACAAAGTAGAGTAATGGTCTAAGCCTTCCACTATTTGCGTGAGTGTATGTGGTCATGGTTAGAGCTCCTTGACTATAAATATAGTATCCTTCACCATTCATCAATACACTCAAAAAGGAAGTTTCCTTTTTGGCTTTTGTTCACTTCGTGCATATCCTCTAGTCTGAGCATATATATAGTCAGGTTCGCCTACGTGATTGCTAGTGCAAGCTATCCGTAGTAGGTCTGTGTAGCCTGTCGAAAGCGTCCAAGGTTTCTAAATGCACCGTTACCGGGCAAATAACGCTTTTAAGGTAGTGTTATTGTAACACGACACAAATTTCCTTTCAACCATACACCAATAGTGTCCATGCTTCTTAAAAGGCTTCCAGATCGCGCGTTGACGTTGCAATTTTCCCCAACATGGCAAGTTAATGGTAGAGTTACCTAAACTTGCATATTCAGCCACCTCCTTGAGCCGAGAGGTCAATAATATACGACTTCCATTATTATCATCTAGAAAGCATCTTTGCACACTATCCCAAGCAGTAGTGCTCCATATATCATCCATCACTATCAAATATCTTTGTTCCTTCAAGTGTTTACGTAGACGGTCTGCTAATTGGCCTTCATCGTCATTGCTACTTTGTTCATCACTTGATGCACTAACACAACCAACAAGGCATTGGAGAATTTGTGGCAACTTATGCTCTTGAGATACAGTAACCCATGCTCGTTTGTCAAAATGAAAAGTAATTGATGAATCTTCGTAGACTTTGCGAGCTAAAGTGGTCTTGCCAATTCCTCCATTGCCTACAATTGACACAACTTGGAGCTGTTGTGCTGATTTTCGGGTGAGCTGATCCATTATCGTCTTGAACTCCTTGTTGCATCCGACCATTCTACTGTACGTCAAACTTTGTTGAAGCGTTTTTGGAAAATTTACTCTGGCGTTGTAGATCATGCTGTGATGATGTTGAACCAAGGAGTAGTCCTCTTTGTCGCATCCGACCAAGGAGTGAAATCCTTTCACCTTGTGATGGACCATTCGCTAGCTGCTTTTCACTAATTTTAATCAACTCCTTCTTGAGGTAATCAGTCTGGTTTACTGCTTTAGTGAAGATTTCACGAAGCCTGAGGAGGGAAGCCTTTATACGAATACGCTTTGTCCAACCCTTTGCTAGATATATGCTACTCAACTCTATCTCAATCTTTTGAATATTACCTTTGACCCTTTGTATTTTTGGTAACCCATTGTGTTTGGTTTTGGTGCTTGTGATGCATTTTGGACATACTGCTCATGATTGTAAATATTTAAATATTTTACTATCAATTTTCATCCACGACTATTATTTTAGTGACAAAATTCATCACGTCGGTCACCCCTTCGTTTAAGACATTCTAAATATGAAATTTAAACCCTAAGATCGATCACAATTTGCAGTTCTCCTTATCAAATTAAGTATCCTGGTTCTCTCCAATGGGTGGTTATAGGTTCGAATTTCGGTGGTGGGGCTTAGATTTTTTGGGTGAAAATATTTGAAAAAGTATAAAATAAATACTACCTTGTAAAGAATAATAAGTATTTCAACCAAAAAAAAAAAGTACTAATATTGTATGTCCTAATAGCAATCTCAACAATAAGATTTTAGTGGATTTTTAAATAGTATTTTCCTACATGAATGAGGGAGGATAGAACAGGTTTTTGAGATAGTATTAATGTGAGTTTTTTTTTTTCTTTTTTTTTTTGTTCTTGATGAGTTGATGGGTAACAGTTGCTCCATTTGCTCTCTCTTCACCCACTCTGTTACATGAAAATGGTTAGTAAACTGCTGCAACCAAAAAGAGCATCACTCATTCACTTGGATGGCATAATTGAAAAACATTATATTGACACCAAGATTGCAAGTTCAAATTTATATTGTAGTTATAACTTCAAAACTACCAATGCTCTATATATATTCTGAAATTTGGATACTTTAATTAAACAATTTAAAATAATTAAGCACATTCAAGTGAATAACTTTCTTCTTATTGGATATCTGCTTTCAAAAATCTAATCTCAAAATACTCTTTAAAAAAGCAAGACCAAACAACTTTCAGAAGATCCTAAGCTCTTTCTGCAAACACAGTCGAAAACTAAAATAATAAAAAGCAGCAGTTTACTAAGCTCTTTCCATCAGCAACTTCTTCTGACAAGCAGAAACCATTGCAGTTTACTAAAATATATAATACTATGATTTGCAACAGAATATTCGATCTGCCAAATACTGCTAAAGATCACTCTCTTCCTCCATATCCCATTCTTCCTATTTGTTGTTTGCACGTTCCGTCTGCAATCGATAAATTAAGTAAAAATGAAAAGGTGAACACACAGCAGTTAGATAGGTAAGGAAATATGAGATAGAAGTGATGGGAGGAAACAGATCAGATCAGATATAATGGCCATGAAGAATTCAAGTAGCATGCATGAAGTAAGTGCATATATGTTAAATGGTAACGCATTATAATATATATATTAGAGCTGAGGGATAGAAAGAGACCATAATACTTTCCGAACGAACAAGGAGGGCATTTCCATAGTTGTTGTATTGCTTTTCTTGAATCAACTTTGCAGAAACCAGAACAGAATCCCAACAGCGGTTTAACTGAATCAGTGCTAGTGTGGTGATATCGGCAAAACCACTAGGGATTTCTTGCAAATGCTTGCATTCACGTAACTCTAAACATTCTAGCAGAGGGAAATGGTCACCCATGGCATTCCAACGTTCCAAAAATGTATCTTCAATTACCAATCTTTTCAATTGAGGGAATCCTTCCTCGGATGGCTCCCACATTCTGTGTTTGCTAGCAATAGCACGTTTCAGCTTTAGAACTTCTAGATTCGGCAACATACCAAAAAGCCTCATATCACTCCATGCCAAATAAGTCAAGAAGAATTTTAGCTTCTTAAGATTTGTTAGAAAACTAGTTCCCCATGGAATGCCGCTACATGGAATACGGTTGAGATTACACCACTCTCTTATGCTTAGCTCCTCAAGCTGCCCCAAGTGCACAAAATTATAAAAACAATCTGGATTGTTTTCACCCAATCCACCATCAATCCCCAATTTTTTTAAATTTGGAATCCTTGTAAACATATCCTTTGTACAGAGCTTAGAATGCAACCAATATATACACTCTAAGTTTGTATGAACAAATGACGAAGTTCCTAATGAAAAAATCTGGTCAATGCAAAGATTCCTTAGTAGTGGCATTTTCCAAATTCCATATGCCTTAGAGGAATCCACTATAGCACGACCTCCACGAACAATAAAGCTTTGGATATTTGAATGCTCAAAGTGCTCTAAACAAAAACGTGTGCGGACAACATCTCTAGAACACCTCAAAGTTAAGTATCTCAAATGAATAAGATTTGTAAAAGCATATAGCAGTACCGTATATTCACGGTTAGATATAAGCTCTATGTCTACTACTCTTAGTAGTTTGAACTGTGAAAATAGACGTTCCACACTTGCAAAGTTAGAGTAAAAAACATAATAATGAGAGTGTAAGGAATGCAATTTGTCAGAGCACTTTGTCAAAGCACGTAGATGAAACTGTGATGTAGCAGTTATCCAACGACAAGAGATTTTCTTCTTGTAAAATGGAAGTTTTTCATCTCCAATGACATTCAAGAGATTTTCACGTCGAGCTTCTCTCAAACACAAATCACGCAACAGGTCATGTATTCTTATTGCCTTCATCTTCCCATTGAAACTCTGTTTGCTAACAAAAACAAGACTTCTATCAACAAGATCTTGCAAACACTCCATAGCCACTTCCTCCATATTTTGATGGTCCTCTGCCCTCAAAAATCCCTCTACTGCCCACAACATAACCAACTTCTTCACAGGGATTTCATAGTCTTCTCGAAAAACTCCCAAATATAGAAAACAAGCTTTTAAGTGGTGTGGTAATTGGTTGTAACTCAAATATAATATTTTGGAACATGCATCATTAGAATCACCAATTACATATCTACTCACATTTTCTGCAACATTATTCCACTTCTCCACTGCCGCCTCTGTCTTAGAGAGAAGACTAGCTACTACAATAATAGCTAGAGGTAATCCATTACATTTCTTCACTATGTTTCTACCAATTTGCTCAAACACTGAAAGAAATTTAGTTTGACCAAACACATTGCAGTAGAGATTCCAACTTTCATTGGCATCTAAGAATGGCAAGTTAATGGTAGAGTTACCTGAACTTGCATATTCAGCCACCTCCTTGTGCCGAGAAGTCAATAGTATACGACTTCCATTATCATCATTTGGAAAACATCTTTGCACACTATCCCAAGCACTAGTGCTCTATATATCATCCATCACTATCAAATATCTCTGTTCCTTCAAGTGTTTACGTAGACGGTCTGCTAATTGGCCTTCATCGTCATTGCTGCTTTGTTCATCACTTGATGCACTAACACAACCAACAAGGCATTGGAGCATTTGTGGCAGCTTATGCTCTTGAGATACAGTAACCCATGCTCGTTTGTCAAAATGAAAAGCAATTGATGAATCTTCGTAGACTTCGCGAGCTAAAGTGGTCTTGCCAATTCCTCCCATGCCTACAATTGACACAACTTGTAGCTGTTGTGCTGATTGTCGGGTGAGCTGATCCATTATCGTCTTGAACTCCTCGTTGCATCCGACCATTCTATTGTCAAACTTTGTTGAAGCGTTTTTGGAAAATTTACTCTGGCATTGTAGATCATGCTGTGATGATGTTGAACCAAGGAGTAGTCCTCGTTGTCGCATCCGACCAAGGAGTGAAACGTCAGTGATCCTTTCACCTTGTGATGAACCCTTTGCAACCTGCTTTGCACTAATTTTAATCAACTTCTTCTTGAGATAATCAGTCTGTTTTACTGCTTCATTGAAGATTCCACGAAGCCTAAGGAGGGAAGCCTTTATACGAATACCCGTACAACCCTTTGCTAGATATATGCTACTCAATTCCATCTCAATCATTTCTTCTGCTTTGAACGCTACATCTCTGATCTCTGCCTCTAAATCTTTCATCCCCGCATTATTATAGGCTATCTCAGATTTCTCAAGAACTTGTTGGAGGAAACCAAGATTTTCATGGAGAGAATTAAGTATCTTTTGGTTGTGTTGAAGAGGCAAGCGTGGTTGTGATTGCAAGAAGTGTAGATGGAGTGTTCCTTTAAGCGAAGTTACAGCAGCATAAGCCATTTGCGATAAACTCATCGATGATCAGACTTCATTGCAGAACTAACTAAGAAGAAATGAAAGTCTACACAGCTGGAATGAGTGGACAGCAGTTAGCGCGTTTTTTTTTTTTTTTTTTTTTTTTTTTTTTTTTAAATTAGATTACAAAATTATCTATACGGTGTGTCAAATTTTTGTGGACCATATTTATTTTTTTCTTATTTTTTAAAACAAAATTATTTAATTTATTTTGTTTTAATTAACATATGACTAATAATGCTATTACAATTATCATAAATTATATATTATGATATTCATAATTTATATACAGATCAAAAATATTTATATATAGTCATCACAAATGCCTGTATAGTGTATAAGACAAGTACATAAAGCGATTATTCATCAAGTTACTAGTGCGGTTTAAATATACATTTTAATTTTATCTTCTACTATTGCGTCATAGCGAACCCAAGTGTTCGAGCCTTGAGAGCCCACGAGTCCCGGTCCAAACGACACGTAGCTGAGCCACAGAGGGCCCGACCAGTAAGCTTTTTGGCCTGGCGGAGCTTGGTGGGCCTTGAGCAATGGATCTATCTGAGATTCGTGCCCAAGAGCCGGCTCTCCACGGGACTAGCCAGTAGTCCTTCACTAGGACTGTTGGCTAGTTCCGTGAACCTATTTGGTGCACAAATAGTGTGCACCAGCGGGTTCCTTCTTCACCTGAAAACAAACCAGAGCAACATGACAAATCTCCAAACCCCAATAAATCAAACATAGATCAACAATAGCTCACTAATAGCTCAACCACAACAATAATCTAACATTTCTAAGCATTTACACCTCAAAACTAGACTTCACAGAGTAAAATAAATAGTTGGGAGTTCATGGGTTATACCTTTGTTGCCTCTTCTTCCTTGTATGGATTCTTCCTTCTTCCCAAGTCAGCCACTACCCCCCTTCACCACCTAAATACCTCAAACAAGCCACACAACAACCCTTAAGAAAAGAACCTCAGAGATAGGAAGCTAATGAAGGGAAGCTAGATGGAAAATGGATGAATGGATGAAATGAACCTACGAACATACTGTGTTTTTCCTTTGATTCTTGCAGAGCTCTTGGTGGGAAGACAAAGGGATGGAATCAGGAGGAAATGTTCGCTTACTATTCATTTTATAATGGCTCATAACCCTAGGAAGATCAATAATGATTGGTGAGGGGCAAAGTGTCTTTTGGCTTGAACCTTCAAAATATCAGACAATGCATTGGAGGCTTATGGTCCACCTTATAACATGAACCTTAGTCTACACTACTACAGAATTCAAATACAACATCGGGGCCTTTAACGTCAGCTATATAAATAGCCGACGTTAAAAACATTTTTATTTTTTATTTTTTAAATTAAATTTATAACGTCGGCTATTTATTAATAGCCGACGTTATAAATAAAAAAAAAATATAAAAGAAATAAACAACCTACGACGTCGGCTATTTTTATAGCCGACGTCGTAAGTTGTGTATTGTTTTTTTTTAAAAATAATTTATATATAACGTCGGCTAAATCCTATTAGCCGACGTTATATACTAAAAAATTTAAACAAAAAAAAAAGAAATAAATATAATACGACGTCGGCTAACTATCTAGCCAACGTCGTATTATATTTTAAAATTTTTTAAAAAATTTGTTTTATTTTTAACGTCGGCTAAGTGCATTTAGCCGATGTTAAAAAGTTTATAAAATCCCCAAAATTTTAATTTACGCTCAGTTACGCACTACGCACCATTTTACGCACTCATCCATCTTCATAACCTCTACGCACTCATCCATCTTCACCGCCGCTGCCGCCGCTCGCAACCATCTGCAAATCGCCGTGATAGGCATATTTTACGCTCATATTTTAGGTACATCTTTATAATATTTTTATATTAATTATTTAATATTATCTAATAATTAGTTCTTTTTATATACATAGTATAATCTATTCTTATACTATATATAATATATATAATATATAATTTATAAGAGTACATACTACGTACTTAATACTATATATATATAATATACAATATAATATATAATATAATATATATAATATAGAATGCATTATAGTATACATATAATGCGTACTACATTATAATTACTTTTATATATATATATATATATATATATATATATATATATATATATATATATTATAAATCTAAACTTTACAATTGATTTTTTCTTTTTGTACAGGCATGCATCATAATAACATGGCTAGAATTATGGAAGACTCAGGCATAAGGCAAAATAATAGGAAAAATGAGTGGTAGAAAATGATTGGGAAAATATATAAATAGTTAAGGTTTTCTATTGTAAAATGTTCATTCTTCCCCTCTCGATTATTCTGTAAAGCTGTTATCAATGTTCATTCATTGCTAATTTCTTTAGCTTGGTTTAGTGAATTGAAGGCCCGGAATTGATCATGCTGTAAGATTATTTATTTATTTTTATTATATAATTTTTACGCATTTGGGTATTAAATATTCTTCTAAGTTATTTGAATAGTTGTATCATTTAATTGCTAGGGAGACCTACTAGTTATTTACTTGATATAATTATTTGCTATATTAGATAATGTTGTGCTACAAATTATTCTAATATTCAGTAGCAACTGAGGTTAATTATTGACGGCTTAGTGATAATTGGTCTCGGGTAGAATATTTTCCTAAATTAAATGCAACCGCTTGTGTTTGTGTTATTTAGTTTGTCGGTTTTCCTAGTTCCTATTGTTGCTACTAAATTAAATCTATAGCGCTTGTCTTAGATTATTTAGTAGTTAGGGGTAATTAAACCGCTTGTGCTTTATTTACCTACAACTAAGGGAAAACAGAAATGAAATAATTTCACGACAAATATTCAATTGCATATTAATTACTTTATTAATCAATGATCAGTGTTAAATTCCGGTGGTGGATCTTTACTAACCAAGGTTTCTTATTATAAGTGTTTTCGATATATTATTTTCATTGCTTTATTCGTTCAGTTAAATTACTTGTTTATTTAAATTCTCTTTTAATTTATCTTTATTCTCAATATTTTCCAAACCCCCCTACCTTTAATTTGAGCACAAAAGTTAAACTAGTTACTCCTCGTGGGATCGATCCTTACTCCCGCTACTACGTTTGTAAGGTTTTAATTTGGGAGCCTACGACAGCTCGCCAAATTTTGGCGCCGTTGCCGGGGAGATTTTCTAGCTTATTTTGTGTTTGTTTATTTATTTAATTATTTATTTTGTTATTTGTTTATTTGTTTTTCATTTGTCCCAAAAAAAAAATTAAAAAAAAAAATCTTTTCGTTCGTTACTTTTACATAATTGCTGCAATATATTTCCTTTTTGTTTATGCCTATAACTCGATCTGCTAATCAAAAAATCTTGCCGTACGATCCAGAAATTGAAAGAACTGTACGCAAGTGGAAGAAACAAGCTTTGCGGAAATTGGAGTTTAGTGATCTGGCTACCGACCCTCAACCTTCCAACAATTCTGATTCCGAAGAGGAACCCATGGCTCAAAATCGGACTTTAAAAGAGCTTGGAGCTCCAAATTTGGATCAGCAACCTTTGTGCATTACTTTTCCCGCTCTAGATGCTAATATACAATTTGAGCTAAAATCTGGACTAATTCATCTTTTGCCTTCTTTTCATGGACTTGCAGGTGAAGATCCCCACAAACACTTAAAGGAATTCCATGTGGTGTGTTCAAGTATGAAACCCACAGGGGTTACTGAAGAACAAATTAAGTTGAGAGCCTTTCCCTTTTCGTTGAAAGATTCAGCGAAGGATTGGCTATACTATCTACCTTCTGGGAGCATCACCACATGGAATAACTTGAAGACAATGTTCCTTGAAAAGTATTTCCCAGATTCAAGGGCTGCCAACATTAGGAAGGAAATATGTGGTATAAGGCAAAACAATGGAGAATCATTGTATGAATATTGGGAGCGTTTCAAGAAGTTATGTGCAAGCTGCCCACACCATCAAATCAGTGATCAATTACTCATTCAATACTTTTATGAAGGACTTTTTCCGACTGATAGGAGCATGATTGATGCCGCGAGCGGTGGTGCTTTAGTTGACAAGACACCAGACGCTGCAAGAACTCTAATTGCAAACATGGCTGCAAATTCTCAACAGTTTGGCAATAGAATTGTCCAACCGTCTAAGCAAGTGAATGAGGTAAATATTTCTGCTCTTGAACAACAAATTACTAGTTTAACTACTCTTGTTCGTCAATTAGCAGTAGGCAATATGCAATCTGTAAACGCATGTGGAATTTGCTCGGTAGTTGGGCACCAAACTGATGCCTGCCCAACTCTTCAAGAAGAACCTACTGAATAAGTTAACATGGCTGGAGGTTTTCCTGGACAACCTCAAGGTAAGTATGATCCGTTTTCTAATAAATATAATCCTGGATGGAGGGATCACCCGAACCTTAGCTATGGGAACTCACAAGGAAACCAGTTTGTTCAGAATCGTCCCAATTTTCAGCAGTATAGACAACCATTTCCTTCCAAACAACAACCAGTCCAAAGCTCTAGCTCAGGTATGAATTTAGAAGAAATTGTTAAATCCCTTGCTACTAACACTTTACAGTTTCAGCAGGAAACACAACAATTTCAACAAGAAACAAGAGCTAGTATTCAAGAAACGAAGGCTAGTATTCAGATCTTGGAAAGACAGATGGGTCAACTAGCGACTACGGTAAGTCGGTTGGAATCACAGAGTTCTGGCAAACTACCCTCGCAAACGGTGGTTAATCCAAGAGAAAATGCAAGTGCAATTGTGTTGAGAAGTGGTAAGGAAATTGAAGGGCCTGCGGTTGCTTCCCCATCAGTGAACCAAGAAAAAGAGGGGACTAACAACAATGAAAAATCTCAAGGTAAGTCTCCCAATCTTTCTGATTATGAACCAGTTCCCCCGTTCCCTCAAGCTTTGTCAAAACCTATAAAAGGAACGAAAGATGAAGAGTTGTATGAAACTTTCAAAAATTGTGAAGTGAATATCCCGTTACTTGATGCAATAAAACAAGTTCCTAGATATGCTA